AATACATAATCTAATTTTTCACAATGTCATACTACATCTACTACATTCTAACTCAATTCACATCATAAACTTCATCAATTGTGCACAATTTCAACGGATTAAATAAAAAACAATTTACACCCAAAACCTAACATTCAATATCATCATCTACCCACAATTATACCACCTATTAGGGAGTCTGAACCCCACTGATCAGTGGTTTTTACACAGATATTTAGCATTTATTTTAGTTATCATTTTTGTTACTTGTCGAGGTTTTATTTCGTTTTATTACATATTATACTTTGGTTTTGTGTTTTAGTATTTTCAAGTTCCAAAGAATAAATCGAGACAAATCAATGCAAAACTCGGAGTTTTGGAAGAAATACAAATATCCACCTACAGGTGGCTTGACACGGCCACCCCTGTCACCTTATGTGGGTCGTGTCAGGATGAAGTCTAGGACGAGACAAAGAAAATGGGAAGTCATGGGGTTGACATGGGTACCCGTGTCAGCTGACACAACCTGTGTCAGAAGGTATGTATGAGAAATAAAAGACAAGTTCCCAGAGGTCCAACACGGGCATCCATGTTTCCTGAAATGGCATGTGTTGGGTTGCGACGCTGATTGCAGTATTTCAGGTTATTTTGTTCATCTGTTAAGATGTGGGGGCATTTTGGGTACTTCCAACCGACCTAAATGAGTTGTTGTTATTAAGAGGAGTTTCCATGATGAATACTAGGACTTTTTTTCCAGACGAAGAATGGAGGATTGAAGATTGAAGCCTATGTAAGTGTTGGAGAACATAGACCTTTCATGAGCGGAAGCGATTGAAGATCAAAGTTCACCATCTATATGTAATGTTTAATTTTTATTCTGAAATTACTTTGAACAATATGGTAGCTAAACCAATGCTAGGGGGTATCCCTAATTTGAATCTGTAATGATTATGAATTCCTGAGTTCTTTAATAAAGTTGTTTTCTTATTCAATTTAATCGTGCAATGTTTTCCTATTTTTCTGTTTGGACCAATTAGGATTTACTTACGGTTAATAACCAATTGGACCGTGGCTGTTAAGGTTTTTGTATGATTAGACTACAGTAGATATCACCTAGGACTAGGGATACCCTATAGTTACCATATTTAACCCTTGATAAAATAAAGTCTTGACTCCATCAGATATCTTTAAGGACTTAGAATTTAGGATGGATGGTTAAAGATTTTCTCACTAAGGACTTAGGGGAAAATAATCTAAATGGCTGGTAGTTGAATGTAATGAACTTGTTGAAGAGATCAAGAGTAAATGTTATTACAAGGTCAAATCAAACACCTACCCCTAGCATGCTCCTCATATATGAGAAAAAGCCTTAATTTACATTCTGTTTATTTTTAATTATTGTTAAGTGACATTTTCCAAACCAAAATCCCAATTCAAGTTTTGTCTAATTGAACCACAAACTAAACTCAATACTGATTCAAGGTCCTTGAGATCGATACTTTAGGATTCCCTATTATTACTACATTGGCAAATTAGTACACTTCCTAACTTACCGATCAAGTTTTTGGTGCCGTTGTCGGGGACTGCCTAGTTATTCAGTGTAATTTGAGTTTAATTAGAATTTTGTTGCTCTGCAACTAAAACTTTCTTTTCTGTAATTTTTATAATTTTTTGTTATTATTGATTTTTTCTAACATTTTTATGCGAGGAAAACCCTCAGTTGAATTTTCTTTTGATATACAGATTCAGGTTCAGAATTAGAACCTGAAACTGTGGGTGAAAACCCACCACCACCGGAGAGACTTCTTGGGGACTATGGAGGAGAAAATGCTCCAACAGGTCGGTTGACTATTGTGAATTAACCGGTCACTGTTGAAAATTTTCAACTGCATCCTTCAACCATCCGCTAGCTCGAGAAAAAATCTTTCACCAGAAAAATCAATGAAGATGCTAATAAGCATTTGTAGAGATTCCTCACCATGAGTACTACTTTGAAGATTGAGGGACACTCTGAAGAAGCCAAAAAATTAAGGATGTTCCCGTTCACGCTTTCTGAAGATGCTAAACAGTGATTTTACTCTTTACCTGCTGGGAGTATTACTACTTGGGAACAGATGGAGAAGAATTTTCTTGACGAGTACTTTCCTGATTCTATTTATATTTGCAAAAGATATGATATTGTGAATTTTAAGCAGAAGGAAGGAGAGTCGCTAGTTGATGCTTACAAGAAGTTCAAGAGGTTATTGGTAGATTGCCCCACCCACATAATGGTTCAAGATGAAAAAATGTAGATGTTTGTGAATGGCCTCCAAATGAAGATAAAACAACTTATTGATACAGCAGCCGGTGGCTCATCCAACTTTACAACAGCCGCTGGTGTGAAGAAAATTATTGAAGCCATTGCTGCAATTGAGCATCTGGAGCTATATGACAGAGTTGTAATAAAACCAGAGGGAGTGAATAAGTAACTAAAAATTGAAGAGGCTATTGCTGCAAAGTGGAGAAAAAGCTGAAAGCAATGAACATGGGTACTCAACAGGTAGTTCAAGTTCAACAGGCACACACTGCAGGTTGTGAAATATGTAGTGGAGCGCACATGATTATCCATTGTCATGCAACTCCATAACAAATTGAGGAGATAAAACTTTTGAAGTAGAATAATCTGTATTCTAACACCTATAATCCTGGGTGGAAGAATCATTCTAACTTCTCCTAGAAAGATCAACAACAACAAGCTCCACAAAGAGCAGAATGGGAGGTGACTATTGAAAAGATGATTGTCCATACCTCTCCATTTCAAGAAGAGACAAGGAGTAGTTACATGAATACCATAGTTGCAATAAAAAATTTGGAAGTTCAAATGGGACAGATTGCACAATAGGTAGTGCTGCGAGCATAGGAAAATCAGGAAAATCATGAGAATGTTTATGTTGTCATAACAAGGAATGAGAAAGCTGCTAAAGAAAAGAAAGATGAGGTAAAATTTGATGATAGTATCATAGAAGTAGATATGGAAGTGAGAGAGAACAAGAGAAAACAAGAAGTGGTATCACCTGTGAAGTCAGTTGAAGAGAAAACTAAACCAACAATCAAGTTTTCGTATCCATCTCGAGTGGTAGAGAAGGACACGATAGAGAAAGAGTTTGATAAATTTGTCCAGTTGTAAAAAGATGGAGATTAATATACCATTCTTTGAAGCACTCGAGAAAATTTCTTTGTATCACAAATTCATGAAGGAGGTATTATCAAAGAAGAGATCAACGGGAGAGGGATCAGTACCCTGTGATGAGAAATTATGTGTAATTGCACTCGAGAGGAAAATACTTGTCAAGCAGAAGGATCCGGATCAGTTGCACTACCATGCACTATAAAAGACAAAACTTTCAAGAGGGTTCTGGTTGATTCGGGCTCTAGTGTGAGTTTAATGCCATTATTAATTTTCAAGAAGCTCGGTATTGAGAAGATAAGCGGGAGTGGGACAAATTTGAAATTTGCTGATCACACCATCAAGAAGTCAAATGGGATAGCTAAAGATGTATTAGTATTAATTGACAATTTTGTTTTCCTAGTTGATTTTCAGATCATGGACATACCTAAATATGAAGAGGCTCATATCATTCTTGGTCGACCATTTATGCTGACTAGTCGATGCAATTTTGATATCGAGAAAGATAATCTGACACTGAAATCATCTGATGAGGAGATAACTTTGAAGGTGTTGGAGATCAAAAAGCATGATGCAGGTGAAAATAATCAAGCTTCATTTGTGTTATACCCCAATTTTCCCCCCTAAGATCCCTCATCACATCATATACATCTCATGCATATCATCGATTCCATGGTTACGAGATCAAAGGGCTCTTGGCATTAGAGTTTTTTTTTTAATTGAGGTTGCTATCTTACTCAAAGTTGATTCAACTGGTGCTCTCATCATTTTTAGTATGAAACTAGGGTTTTGGATCATAAGCATCATGGATATTTTCCTTGGCAAGATTCCTCAAGATACAAGGCTATGAGCTAGGGTTTGATTCCTCTCAATACCAAGTCATCTCCTCATTAATGTGCATCCAAATCAAGATAATTGGGGTTCCTCCTAATTGCTTACATCACAAGTCACCCCTTCTCAAGAGGCTTAAAAGATTAAATCAGGGTCTTTCTTCTATTGTGATACTAGTCAAGTGGTTAAAGTTTTACTTTGAGATTTTATCGAGTTAAGGCGTTTCATAGTGCACGAGCTATGGGTTAAGATCTCATCAACCTTTCGAATAGGATTTAGGGGTTGCTTGAATTTATGATTCAATTGAGGATTGAGGTTCATTAACCAAACATAGCACAAAAGGATAAGGTTGTGATTTTCTTTGAGGACAAGGTCATGTTGCCCATTCAATATTCATTCAAACATGCCATTTTCAAGCAACTTAAAAATAATGACTCAAGCTCCCGATTCATTTAGATGAGTTGTTCTGAATTCAAGCTAAGAAATGTAAGAGAATTCTTCATTTAAAAAAAGGGAAGAAAGCTCATGTTTTTGCAAGCGAAGTCCCTTTTATTCAAGAGGCAATCAAGGTCTTTTAACATCTATGTCAAGCTCAAAACTTTAAGTGTCATTCAAGTTTACGATACAAAATACAAGGATTCAAGTTCCAATAATTCTGAGGGTTTTGCATTCATAATTCATACAATTCAAAGGCAATTTGAAGAGCATATTACAAGACCCGAAATTGAATTACATGAAAATCAAATTCATAAATTCTAAGCCTAAACTCTATCTCCATCTTCCAATTTGGTTTCATGTCTTGCAAAACTTTCCCAAGCTTTTCCAAAATTTGTCAATAAACATGTTTAAACTCCATGCCATACTTCATTTGAAATCCGCTTATTAAAATAGCTCTAAAGTTGTAGCAGACCTGCTCAAATATCAGTGAAAAACCTGATGCAAGTGTGCTTGAATACAAGAAAATCATGCGCTGCGTTTACACAAGGAAAATCGGTTCATAAAACAGCCCCTACACTGCATCACTTTAATTCAAATCCGGCGCAAAACAATCAGCCCCGCCCCGTTTCAAAAACATTGCAATATGCCTGAAAACCTTCATAAGATAATCAGGAAGTTAAAAAAACGGAATTCCAGCTCAGCAAGTATAACAAAATGTTAGATGAGACAACTTTCAATCTCAACCCTTAGTTTTCCTAACAAAAATCCCGCTAGCAGTTATTAGCAGAGCTAACAGAAGGTAACAATCCTAACTAATAACTAACAGAATTTCTAACAGAATCACTAACTAAAAAACTAACTCTTAACCGAATAAATCTAGGCTCTTCATCTCTTAACCGATTCTGGCAATCTAATGGCCCGAGTTGATTGAGTTGTAACTGAATTCACAGAGAAATTCCTATATAACATATGGAGAGTTCATAGAGGGGGGATAATCATTTATTCAATACAGATAAATTCACAGAAAAAGATCAAGAACTCACCACAAATTTCTCACTCTCCCTACATCCTTCTTCAACCTTCCATAATTCTTCAACCATGAGAAGAATCACCAAGAAAATCACCATAAAATTCTCAAAACTTTCTCCTCTCTCTCTCTGCTTCATCTTTATTCTCTGCTACATCTCAACATCACCTTCACGTATATTATATCTTCATCACGTCAACAATCTCCGCAACCTCCATAACTGCACCACACATCTTCCTTTACCTTTGTCATTTCTCTGAACTACATTCTCAGAACCTTCATCTTCAACTTCTAATCAATTCCTCAACACACCTCCATCATCATCCTTCTGCATCAGTAAGATCACCGTTCTTCAATAATAAACCCGCAACATAATAACCAAATCTTCTTCAATATTCATTATCAGCGTCACGAATTCAACAACAACATCGCTTTCGTGACGTAACAGAATCGCAAGAAACAAGCAAACACACAGAATCAAAAGAAAAGAGAAGAAGCAGATTCAAGGACGAGAATTATATGCATACCTGAGTCATTATTCTCTGGTTTTTTCCTCGACTTTGTCAAGCTTGAAGAACAAACAAAGTTCTCCGCCACGTTGTGTTGGGAGTGTGAGACGAAGCCTCTGTGACGACATTGAAGGAGTTCAAAGCAGAGTTGATAGAGCGACAAGGTGTTAAATCGTGAACTGTTGTAGCCGCAAACCGAAGCGGAGGTTGAGTCTGAGACATAGATGAAGTGGTGAGTCAAAAACGATGATGAGGTTAAATCGGTAGTGATGTAAGATGAAGTTGAGGATGTTTGAGACCGAGATCAGAAAGAAACGGCGGAGATCTATCAGAGATGGTGTTGCAGCGCCGCGTTTTGTTTTGAAGAGAAGAAGTGAACGGCGTAAAGAAGAAGAAGAGGGATTTCAGGATTGGGATCGTCACACTTTTAAACCCTATCTGCTCTCTAAGGTGACACCGTTTTCTTTAATACATTAATTTGTTTCATTTTAAAATTGATGATTATGCTAATAATAATATTAAATTAAGGTGTATTGGATCAAGGGGGCGGGCCGAAATTCCTCGGAGGCCTGAACAAGTTGTTTATTTGGGGAATTTGATTGGCAAAAAGAAACTGATTGTGGGCTCATGTTCAATGGGCCTCTGCACCAACTGTTTCTTTGCAATACTCCCTGAATCCAGTTTACACCCCCTGTGTAGAGTTGTTTTTTTAATTTTTATTTAGTTTTTTCATATAATCATTAGATAAAAATTTTGTTAATAAAAAAATATTGATGTAATAAAAACATTAAAAAATATTAGATTTTAGGAGACATTTTAGGAATTAATTCATGATTATCCAATTACTTGAGATTTATGATTTACTTTTGCTTGTCGAGATTTGGGTCTTATGCAGCTTTATTGTGTGATACGTGAATATGCCTGAGTTTCCAACTGTGATCTATTTTCACATCGATGATGCCCCGACACTTATTCTAAGCATTCGACCTCTAACAGTTTGCTTGTTGATGCTAGCTCGCGCGACGTATCTTGTGTTTCTTTGCTTTGGTTGCGCTTTTTACGGACATTATTGTTTGTTTGGTATTATACTGCTTCCAATTTATCTTACCACATTTTATTGCTTTTTTAGATATCATGAGAAGTAGGAAATAAAGAGCGTGCACTTGAAGTCGCTATTTAAAGACCTGTAACAGGAATTCCACATTTGTTTGCTAATTATGTTTGTGTTTGTTTTCATGGGTTGACGATCGATGATGTCACTCAATTAGAATTGAGATAACGACTTCGATCTTTTCACGCTCCCCTTAGGATTTTCATTTTCCTTGGTTGATGATCGATGATGTCACTCAATTAGAATTGAGATAATTACTTTGATCTTTGCATGCTCCCCTTAGGATTTTCATTTTTCTTTGTTAACGATCAATGATGTCACTCAATTAGAATTGAGATAAAGACTTTGATATTTGCATGCTCCCTTAGGGTTGCTCGATTAGGGATAGCTTCCGAGTTAAATAGTAGGATAGTTATCCATGCATGCTAATATACGGTAGAGATTTCCTTTTCCATCCTTGACGTAGGGTCATCATTGTACGATAACACTAGGTTAGAGATAGGTTAGTCTCCCATAGGTGTTTTCTTCCTATTTTGCATGATTGCATTTAAAACTAAAACTTCTTTTTCTTGGAAAATGTATAAAACATGCTAACCATACAAAAACGCTTTTCATGGTAAAAAAAACACCAACTAATTCATTTCTTTTCGCCATTCGGCTTTTCTCTTCTAAGAACTTGTTGATTCCTTTCCACTACAGTGCGTGAGTCTCCAATGGTCGAGTGGCGGTGGGATGATTTAATTTTACATTATTCATTAAAAAAATACAAATAAACGGAAATTTGTGACCCGAACTACGACGCTCTCATTCCTTAATAGGGATACGTAGGAATCTGGTCACGGGGCTCAGCCGAGCGAAAATTTATAAATATTTCCTTCTTTTCCCCGTGTTTTCTTTGCATGCATTCCCTCTTAGCATTTTTTTCTTTTATCCCTTAATAGCTAGATTGAACGTACCCTTTGATTAGAACAACAAGAGTGGATCCCGTAGAGTACTAGGGACGTAAGGGGTGCCGATACCTTCCTCTCGCGTAATCGACTCCCGTACTCGATCTCTCGGTCGCAAGACCTTGATTTCTCCCTTCAGGTTTTTCTTTGATGATTTTCCTTTCCATTTACATGGAATAAATAAATACTCGGTAGCGACTTCATTGATATTACCGCTACAGAAAAATGATGACTTCACTGGGGACAGATCGACCAATTTCTGGCCCATCCCGTGAGTCACTCCTAGATCATGTTTTTCTTCTCTTTGGGTGTTTATCTTTATGCTTTATAGTTGATTTATTTTTATGTATTTGAGAATATGTATGCATTACATTTTATCGCTTTCCATATATTGGTTGTTTCTACTGTGCTGGATTATGTGTTTGTTGACAGATGAGTGATACTATTGAGGTAAAAGGCCCAATACCTAGGCCAGAGTGCACTATCTAGGAAACCTAGGAATGGAGTAGAACATGACGGCTATTACACAAAGGTCCTACCAGCGCAGTCGTGTTGTCTACGCTCAGATGAGGTTCAAATGGGGTGTTATCGTCATCCACGTCTGTGGCTTGATGGTAGTGCTTTCAGGCGAACCCGTGATTTTGAGTTACCATTGACCTTACCCTGACCTAGTATTGACCCGTAAATGGTGAGGGAATAATCTTTACAGGTACAGATAGTGACTGTGTTCTGTTGGTGACTTTGGTTCCTTGGCATTATGAATTGGTCAGGACCTTTGATCTTATTATATGTGATCGTGGTTTTGTTATAGTTCAGCAACTAACCAGTAATGTGGAAGCTTTAATCCTAGATGTTTGCATACATAGCATGATAATGTAATTATTAACATGCATGCTAATTTGTTTCCAAGCATCACTTCTTTGATTCCAATTGTTAAGCCGCTAAAAAATGAACATTGTTAAGAAAAATACCATGGCTTAATAATATGAACCAAAGTGTATAAACTCTTGGAAACGAGAATATGGCATTTGTATTGAATGTCATGCATCATTTTGCATTTATTTTGCATTTCATAATTTTCCCAAAAGTATTACTCAAGGTCCTTTGGTCTTCAGAAACAAGTTGTCTCATCAATACAACACTCTTGCTAAGAGAATATGGAAAACATTAAGCAAGAGATCTTTGAACTTCGCAAAGAGGTAACTACTTTGAAGGCTAGTATGGAGTATCTAACTGCTTTGGTTAAAACTTTGGTTGCTGCCCGATTTAATCCTTCTAGGAAGGAAGAAAAGATGGAAATAGTCTTCATAGAAACTCTGAAATCATTCTTTCATGAGAAGGTGATAGTCATTACACCCAATGATTTACCTGAAAAGGTGAATGTATGAGTGCTTGTAGAAGAGGATGTCCGAAAGGAATGTTTATCTGAAGACGGCGCCACAACTAGTGGTGTGAATAAGTTTGATAATAACTTTTCCAAGAAGAGAGTCAAAGAAAGAAACAATCATCATGAGAATCGGCATGTTTCTCCTGTCATCCTTGTGTTTAATTTACCTCATGTTGCTCCAGTTTGTCAACAGAATTAGCAAGTTTGTGATCAAAGGAAAACTCAATTTGATCCAATTCCAACAACAAATATTGAGTTGTTTCCTGTCCGGATACAGATGAATTTGGTTCATACCCGACCTCCATCGAAGATTCCTAAGAAGATGCCTTGGTACTATAAAGCTAATTTGATTTGCGCCTTTCATCAGGGAGCCCCTGGGCATAGTATAGAACATTGTTATCCATTGAAAGCTGAAGTCCAGAAATTGGTCAGAAGTCGTATCTTGTCATTTAAGGATATTTGTCTTGAGGTTTAAGTCAAGTCTTTGTCGAAGAATAAGCACGATTAAAGGATACCCTGGAGTTTAAGGATGATTAGCCTTCTCAGTTTACTAGCAATTTTACTGATTTCCCATTTGTAATTTTTCTTGTTTATCATTGCATTGTTTGCATGTAAGAACTTGTTTGCATTTGAATGATTATCTTAATACAATGAATGTGTTTGTCTTTAAGAAACCCATTCGTTTCATTCATATTTGTTTTTAATTTTAAATTTCTCTTTGCATTATGATACCAACTTGTTACCGATTCTCTTGCCTAGGCAGAGATTGAAGGCAGGTGTAATATGGTGGGAGAACTGACTTTACTTGTTTTGCGTTTTATCGCAATTGTTGCGGTTAGTAAGAGTCGTCACCGAATTTTATTTTATCCAACAAAGGAAAGGGTGAAAAGAACAGGAAAGACCTTTCGAGATTATTTTATGAGTAAGGGGGTAGGTTATGAAAAGGGAAGGTGTTAGCACCCTTTTCATCCGTAGTTATCCACGGGCTCTTAGTTGCTAGCTCATTTTGAAAATTCCTTTTTTGTATAAGTGTATTTTGAAGATATTTTGAAAAGACGCCTTAGTGCGGTGAACTTTGTAATGTTTCTCGTTTCGGCGAGAATGTATACAAAATGTTTTTTGTCTTTAAAAATATTTAGAAAAAGAGTTTGTGTATGTGTGAAGATTGTTTTGTTTGTTTTTGTGAGCAAGCAACTATAAGTGGTCTACCTACTCGAATGGTCTTTGTTCTTTTCCTATTTTCCTTTAGATAGTGCTATCTTACTATTGGTTAGTAGGTAGCCCTATCATTTGATGTTTTAAGGGACATGCGAGGGTCATCGTACAATCACGAAAGCAACTCGTAAAATACTTTAGTAATTACCCTAAGGTTGTAAGATCGTTTTACCAAGGCAACTTCGAAATGGTCATCGAGGGACTTATGATCTTATAACCAAAGGATCACTACTAAAGTCTCCTACGTTCAAGAGACGTGACTGTTTGTTTTTCCGAAGGCAACAAGTGGAGGTACCTTAGAGGTGCGCATGTGCGAGTGTGTTGTGTTTCAGTTAAGTTTATCTTTGAGTGTTAGGTTTTCTAGCGTTTGCTTTTAGTCTTTTCATACAAGCCTATTAGCATTCATCTAACAGTTAATTGAATAAGTATAAAAAATAAAAGTGCGGAAATTTAAGCTATGCTATTACAAGGTTTCGGGATGGGGGGAATTACAAACCAAAATGGGGAATAAAAAGTGAAAAAAAAGTCATAAGTTAAGCTATTACAACCCATATGCAAATACATAATATTTATAAAAGTAATAATATGGATAAATAAATAAACACGCGGAGAGGAGAATGCCCTAAAAAGTTCTAAGTGACAAAAGAAATATTTTTGGTTGTTTTTGTATTTTTTTTTAGGAAAATATTTAAATTAAATTAATGAAACCTAAACCTAATTGATTAAATGATTTAAAAGATTAATAAAATTAATTTAATTAAAAAAACTAATTCTAATTATTTTTGTGATTTTGATTTTATAAATGAGAAATTAATTAATTTAAAAAAAGAAATAAAATGAATTAAGTTAAATAAAACAAAATAAGATGATAAATAAAAAAGTGATTATGGGCATTGCTGTAAAGAAAACTAGGGGTGAGGATTTGGAAATCTTAGGCCCAACAATTGAGTCCAGGCGCTGCAAGATAAGAGTCAGGGGTGCAAAAAAGGCAAAAAATAACCAAGCCCAATCCACAAGGCCCGAACCTGCAAAAAAGAAATGTTGAAACGAAAAATAGCAAAACCTGGGACTCGAACCCAGGCTCTAGGAGAGGAAGGCCTTGAGCGTGCGCTGCTTGCCACTGGATCACTCTTATTCATTCGTTAATATAATGACATAATAATATTATAATACATAATCCGTCAAAATTATTTTTTAAAAAAAACGTGCGCCAAAGTGGGGCCCTATTATTTTGAATGAACGAATCAGGGAGCATGATTTGGACACGCAAACCCATGGAGGGCCAAACCACCACACGCGGTGGTTGACATCCTTCTTCTCCGGCCAAGAAAAAATTCGATCTGCAAAAACAAGAAAAATCACAATCCCAGATTCTGGATACCCCCCCCCCCCCCTAATTCGCATGCTACGTATCCAACCATGGTACTGGTTTGGTCTGAAATGGCTTGTATCGCCCAACTCGATGCTTAACCGTTTTGAAACCCTAACAATGGCAACCTGCATTATAAGCCTCTAATTTTTCATGTAATATGTTAGAATAATTCAAAATGATAGTATGAACACGAATATATGCTTGGATTTCATTTAAACTACATGTATTAAGAGATTCAGATGCAAGAATTTTACCAAAATGGAGTGATTCGGTTTTCCGGTTTTAGGATGCTTCGGGCGTGGATATGAGTTGATATTGCCTCCTGGGAGTCTCAGGAACACGATGCAAGGCCTGCTTATGATGGATATGGGCTAGAAGTGGAGTTTCTAATTTTTTAATTTTTGAGAACTTTGATAATTTTGAGAGAGCTTCTCCAGGAAGTGTAGGCATGTCTTATTGCTTGCATTCTTGCTCTTTATATAGAGGGAGGAAGGAGGTAAACAAATATGGAAGAGAATAAAGGCATTAATGCCCTTTTCAAAACAATATCAAACATATTAAAATGTTTCCAAACTTGTGAAATCCTTGCCATTCTTGATACATCATGAACCTAGAATTGTTCAATGAATCTTACACGAAATTTGGGCCCCTTAATGGGTTAAGACAAGCCCAAATGCTATGGTCCATCATTTCTTGTACTTTATTTAATTTATTTGATTTTAAATTAAATAAAATCAAGATAAATGAAAATAAATACAAGGAGATGAAAAATGGATTTAGAGGTCCTTGGGTATGTCACAAACATGTCTGAACCCTTAAAGTTAGGTCTATTAACCTAAAAATGCAATTTTGTTCAAAGTTGACTTCATGCATTTTCACAAATTTTCTCAACTTGTGAAAGCCATAACATGCTCAATTTTCAACTTTTTAAGATGATCTTTGACTTTTTAGAAAGCCCAAGATGTCCTATACAATCTCTATGTTGACCATTTTTGCTTTTGAAGATATTATCTTGATGTAAATTGTCTTGAGAAAAAGTGTCTTTTGTTGACTTTTGAAAATGACCTGTAATGTATGAGATCATATCTTTCAAATGAAACATTTTTTTGGACTTTAGAACAAAAGCAAAGTTGTAGAGAATTGAATTTTATTCAAAATGAGCTTTGGTTAGGGAAAAGTTGATGAAGCATGTGAAAGTTATGCCTGATCAATGTTCACTTGACTTCTCCTAAGGAAACCCTAATTTGACAAATCTTGACTTTTGATGATTTGAGGGTTTTCCTTGGGGAATCATGATCAAACCTTGATCAAATGATGAATATCACCTCAAAATGTTTATGTTGACAAAAAATCTTGAAGTTTCACTGTATGTTGACTAAGTTGATTTTCAAACATTTGAACCATTGACTGGGCAAATTTGTGATGTAGGGCTTGAAACTTGACATGAAGCTTGTTGAGGACCTAAGAAGAAACATGGAAGCAACTTGAGACCTTTTCAAACCAAATTTCCCCTGAGAAACTCCAAACCCTAGTTATAGGCCTTTGGTTTAGGAGGTGCATCTTGACTAGTCAACCCTTGAGTGTCTTGACTATTTGAAGAGCCTTGAAAGAATGATTTGAGAAAGATGAGAGGGAAACTTTTAGGGTAAAATATCTGCTCCTGTTTAATATTCTTACAGCTGAAGAGTTATCTTGGTGTGTCCCTCATTCGTGACTTGAAGGTAGACGATGATTGAACACTTAAGTGCCCATAAATTTGCACTCGACTGTGCAAGAGGTAACGTAGTTGGGTGATTGTAACGGGAATGGGCTTATATATGCCATTTGGAGAGGTGACGGAGATTCATCAGAGATAGGACTATAGATTCCATCCAAAGTAATTGTTGATTTCTACTAGAAGAAGGATTAGAATAAATCTTTGGGTCTATTTAACTGAACCAGATAAAAGATTTTACAGGAAATGAATTAGGATAAATCATTGGTTGATTTAAACTGAACTA